ACTTGGGTCCCATCCCCAAGATCTCTCATTATGTATATGCAAATATTCCAACATCCAAAAAATTCAAAATCTAAAACATTTCTGGTCCCAAGCATTTTGGATAAAGGATACTCAACCTGTAGTGACTTGAAATTTGAACATATCAGAAGGGACACAAAACATCAGACAGGAGGAGGTTTACAGGGCGAAAACCAAAACTTGAAACAAGTTTCTTTCAACCAGTGGTGAGCAAGACAATGATTTCAAATATTTACCTTTTATGAAAATTAATACTTGAATGAGAGTTTAGTCCCACAAATATATTGCTGGGCCCCTGACAGTGGTTTTTGCATCAGACTGGGTGGGTATATTGAATTAAAAAGTGAAAACTAGCTAGGTGTGGGGGCTCATGCCTATAATCTCAGTACTTTGGGAGGTATTTTGGGAGACTGAGGCAGGAAGATCGCTTGAGGCCAGGAGTTTGAGATCAGCTTGGGCAACATAGTAAGACCCCATGTCTACAAAAAATAAAATAAAAAAAAATTATTAGCTGGGCATGGTGGCGCATGCCTGTAGTCCCAGCTACGCAGGAGGCTGAGGCAGGAGAATCACCTAAGCCCAGGAGTTAGAGGCTGCAGTGAGCCAGTGAAAACTTTCAGGCTCATGGTAAATCATTCAGTTTATATAATAAGTATGAATATTACTAGTCACAAAGAAAAGTTGTCTCTAAATGTTGAGACTTTCCCAAAAGACAAGTGCAAAGTGCATTCATTAAGACAAGGAGAACACAACCTTTGTCTATTTTTTTCCTGAATTCAAGGATTCTGAATTATATCTTTACACTAATAAAAATCAATAATACTACATGGCGTAATTTTAACTGTCATTGACTGGCTAGTAACCTCAAGCAAGTCACATTTTTCCACCTGTATATGTGAACACAGGCATTTTGCCTATATTCTGAATTTTCTTTAGGCTATTTGCATATAATGCCATTGATCTGTTAGGGTAAATGCTTTGCATCATATGGACCACGGTTCGGCAGGATCTGGTCCAACATTGCATTTGGGACAAAAGCTGCTCACCTGGTGGCTCAGGGACTTGTACTCCATGGCCCTGGGTTCTTCTAAGTACTACTATTGTTTTGATATTGTCACAATGTGTGATAAAGGTGATAAGACTAGTTTAGGCATTCTTTAGGGCCCTAGTCCCTTTTTTTCCCATTGAAGCAACTGCTTTTTTTTTTTTTTTTTTTTTTTTTTTTGGTTGTTGTTGTTGCCTGGGCTAGAATGCTGTGGCGTCAGCCTAGCTCACAGCAACCTCAAACTCCTGGGCTCAAGCGATCCTCCTGCCTCAGCCTCCCAAGTAGCTGGGACTACAGGCATGCGCCACCATGCCTGGCTAATTTTTTCTATATGTTTTTAGTTGTCCAGATAATTTCTTTCTATTTTTTTTAGTAGAGACGGGGTCTCGCTCTTGCTCAGGCTGGTCTCGAACTCCAGAGTTCAAACAACCTGCCCAACTCGGCCTCCCAGAGTGCTAGGATTACAGGCGTGAGCCACTGCGCCTGGCCTGAAGCAACTGCTTTTAAATCTTGATTTTTGGCAAAACAATCCTTCTTAGGAAACCAACTACATTCCACACCACATTTATCTCTTCGGAGGAGCTTAAATCACTCTGTATAGTAGAGAAAGTTCCCTCCAAAGTCTCTAAAGTTATTCAAATAGAACTATGTTGATTAAGTCGCAGATAAACTGGATGGAAAGTCATAGTTTTATTACAAGGAGAAATGGTCATAAGAGATGGAATGAAAAATACAAAAATAATAGAGTATTACCTTGGGACAAAGAAGAACAGAGTACAAATGTACTGAGGTTAGGTATAAGCCAAGGGAGGAAAGATATAAAATAACACTTTGAAAAGTATAAAGAGCTAGAGAAATGCAAGATATTAAAGTATGCATATTTTATATTCCCTACGGTTCAGGGTGCATGGAAGGCACACAAAAAGTGTTTAATATAAAAAGCAGGCAGCACTGGATACAAACAACCACGAAAGGAAAAGATCTTTGGGCCACCACCCATAAATCAAAAACAGTTTAAAGGGCAACTGGGCTGTCCTGGTTGGGAGGTGATTGCCCTGCTGTACTAAACACAGATCAGACACTACTAGCAGGCAGCTCTGCGATGCCTAACCACACAACCCCAAAGAGGAGTTAAGATGTTTTAAAGCAATGTTTCAATACTGACTAAAGGGTTAAAAATGGGAGGTAATACCTTACAGTGAGGAGGCACTCAAACACCTATTGATTAACGATCTCCAGGGCATGCTGTGGTGTAGGCCATTTCTTCTTGATCTTCTCTAGATCAGATGTCAAGGAAGAAACACCTGGCATCTCTACTTTCCAGAGGTGATGTAGGAAGCCAAGCCAAATGGAGAAAGCCTGAAATAATAATAGCATATTTATGAGATATGATGTAGGCACCACTTTAATATATTTGGATGATTGGTACAGTAACACAAAAATATTTTAGCATAAAAGGAAATGATTCCCCTGCTTTACTAAACACAGATCAGACACCACTAGCAGGCGGCTCTGTGACGCCTAACCACACAACCCCACAGAGGAGTTAAGATGTTTTAAAGCAACGTACAGCAGGGGAATCATAAAAGACTTCTGGGTGACCGTGGGGATCATTCTAGGGACAAATTTGCTTCAGTTCATTAATCTAGTAACAATGGTGGCACTGTTCCTGCCATCTTGACTCTATTAAATGTATTTATTAATAACACTAATATGTGTGTGTTCATTTGTGTATTGCTATCTTCCCAACTGCTGTCAATTCTGGAAGGTCAACAATTAGGAATTAAACTGATGATATAAGAATACAAAGACTTACAGTTTCCGAATCTGATTAAAATTTGTAAATTCTAAATTCTCTTTCACATACTGTTCCCCTGCCATCCTTCCTGGCTGGCTGACAAGTCAAAAGAGGCTCCTGTTGATTGCGCCAGCGCTGGGAATAGAGTTCAATGAGTTGTGCATTCAGGGGCCACACAGGAGGGGAATACAAGCCATACATACAGAGAACCCATACACACAGCCACATCCCCATTCATCCACTGGCAGAGGACACATACTACTTCATTATGAGTCTCTCACTGGTATTCAAGAACCAGAAGATCTGTACAACTAGGAGGTGACAGCCACAACAAGGGAGCCACTGTTACTGTTTTCTTTTGTATGTCTTCTAATCATTGTCAGGCAAACTGTATTACTTACACATTTTGTTCCTTGTGCTGGTTATTGAAGTATCATTTCTAAGCTTCAGAGCTACTCTACTTTGTGTTGTGGGGCCTGGACTCTGCAGACTGCCAGCTGATACTGCCCTAGGAAGAGTTAACAATTGTCTTTAACACACACACACACCACGCACGCACAAAGAAACATGTGCCACACACAAAAAACACACCTACACACACGCCATGCACACAGGCACCAGATACACTTAAACTGTCACTCAATGATATCAGACAACTTTTCTTTTAACTTGAATTTTAATTATGTACATAAATAGCAACATGAGAATGAGGAATTCTAAGGCTTATACATTATCTCTAGGTGAAAAAATTTCAGATTAGTTTGCTTGTAGGATGGTATCACCCAAGATAACAGAGGCCTAGTACAGTTTTTCCTGAAGAGACCCAGTTTAATACATTCGATACTGACTTCTCTGCCATTTTTTTGTAGAAATATTGATTTACTGTATGGAGTTTCCAATGTTTACCTATAACTAAAGGAAAGAAAAGAAAAACGTAAGTAAACAGTGTCAGAAAAAATAAAAACAACTCTAAAATTCTACCTTTTGAAAATTCTTTAGATTTAAATAGAGAAGCCATATAAAATATTTACATTACCATTATAGGACCATAAGAATCATAAGCCAGAGAACACTAATTATTCCCATTTTACAGACGGTTAAACTAAAAATCAGAAAGGTTTTGTGTTCACCAATACTACATTCAACTGGCTGTGCATCTGAGCATAATGAAACAGATGAATGGATGAATAAATAAAAAATAAATGCCTAAATGGCACGGCACACACCACATCTCTTCCCTTCTGAAGATCACACAACTACATTTCCAGCTATCGGCTGGAGAAGAGCATGATTATATCACCCTCAGTCTAGTGTGTATCTTTTTTCACATCATCCCCATCATTCTTTTCTGGAATGAAACACACATAAATTCAGAGACACAGGAGAGACAAACTGAGTCTTCTCCAGATTGTTTTCCTAATATGTAATGAATAACTTAGCAATTAAGGTTTCTAAATATTTTAGAAGCCAGTGACTACTCACTTGATCTATTAATATAAAAAATTCTTAACCATGTAAATCACTAACTTTTCTATCTCAGTTTATTAATCTGTCTTTGGCTTCTCTAAGAATTTGATAGATTTACTGCACTGTTAAAAACTAAAAACTGGAAACAACCTATGTTAATAAGGAGTAAGTAGACCATGGTAGTCCATATCAGGAAATCATTAAGCAACTAAAAAAGGAATGAGGTAGATCTGTAAGTACCAACAGGGAAAGATGTACACAATATATTAAGTGAAAAAAGCACATTAATTCGTTCATTCAACATAGCTAAACATAGTACCATGAAATATTCTTACCAAAAAATTGAGTCTAAATCTGATTAAGCCTTCAGGTCCAACTGTTTATGGGAAATACAGAGAAGAAAGGAACCAAGAGATAAACAGAACGACACTAAATAGATGCACGCGGCCATAGCCAGAACATGGGAAATCCTTTTCTTTTTTCCCCAGCTCAATCTCTGTAGAACATGGGAAATTCTAATGGACAAATAAGACAGGCTTTTCAACAAACAAATGAGGGAGAGGGAACTATTACAGTTTAAAAGAGACTTAAGAGATCTATCAGTCAAACACAATAAGCAGATCTTGTTTGGATCCTGGTTCAAACAAACCAACTATAAAAAGTTATTAATGAGACAATCAGGGAAATATGTACATTGACTGGATATTAGACAACATTAAGGAATTACCGTTAATTTTATTAGGTGTGATAACAAAATTATGATTGTGCCTTCAGGAAGTTTTCTGTGTACTTGCAGAACAATATGAGGAATATGATCCCATTTTGTCAAAAAACCAAAGTATGCATGTATGTATGGAGATATATGTACATATGTGTGTGTGTGTGTATATATATTTAATATTTATATATTTATATTATATAAATATTATATAAATATTTAAATATTTATATATATATATATAGGATCATTCTAGGGACAAATTTGCTTCAGTTCATTAATCTAGTAACAATGGTGGCACTGTTCCTGCCATCTTGGCTCTATTAAATGTATTTATTA